CAGTGTTCAGTCAGCGGACATGTTGGCTGTTGGTTGATCCCAAGTCTTCATCAACACCTCTTGTGGGTGTTTTATAAGAGGAATCTTTGTGACACATTTGGACGCTTTTAAGAGAGTCAGATATGTTCAGGATAATTTTCTTCTGTTACCTGTTGGACAAAAAGCAGCAAACAGATGTGCAGATTGTTTAAAAGGCGACTTGTGTTTCCCTTATTCAGTTAGTGTTAGGTTTTAAACAGCTCAGTGTTTCCCCTACCATTATGCAAGCGGGGTGCCCCACCCCGTCAACAGAACTGAGCGCCCCGCCTACCAAACCGAACCCCCCACCCCTCGGCACTGACATAACGCTAAGCTAGCATGGCGCCCGCCATAACAAGTTAACAAGGAAGCACAGAGTAGAGGTGCACGATTTTGGAAAATATTCCAATTGCAAATTTTTACCTCAATATTGTGATTTAATGTGCGATTATTTTTCAACGTCTTCTTCTCATGCATTTTTCAACAAACACAAGCAATAAATCTGTTTCAGTTGTTTTCAGCTCCGCTGCGACTCTGTTTCTGCATATTTTTTTTATAGCTCCGGGATAGCAACTTGGCTAAAATGTGTGCACGAGGGCGTTCTGTACCACTGATCCACTGTGTTCACCAAAGCTGTAAACTCAGTCTTGGTCACTATATTAATGGGCATCATGTCTTTCACTATGAACTCTGTTATTGCTCGAGTTTATTTTACTGCGTGCCGTTTTGAATTATGTTCATACGGAGTAATACTTTGGAACAGTTCGGTCAGTGATCCTGTCGGCTGATACTTTGCTTACTTGAAGTTGAAGCACTAGTCGTTGGCATTCTAGCCGTGCAACTATCGTAAATGGCTTTGTGGTGTTTTTTAAGTGTTGATAAAGATTTGTGGTGTTATCTCAAGAGGTAGCAACAGCAGCAAAGCAGGTTCTGCACATGTCGTTGCACAGCGCCTTCTTTTTTATAGCCAAAATAATCCAAACAACGGACGTGCTGCTCCTCTTTGGTACCAAACTTTCAGATGTGTCAGCTTCTATCAATCCTGATGCTAAAGCGCAGCGTTGACGTCTCCCGCTCCCTGCTCCGCTTTGCTCCACTCACTCGCAAGTCACGTGACCAGATCACGTGACCGGTCAAATTGCAGCCTTTGCAATTAGAAAATCTCGTTTTATCATATCGTGATATCACAAATGCAATTAACGGTTCAGCCCTAACCCAGAGAGGATGGACTGAGAGGCACAACTCGAGACTCGTAGTAGAAAAAGGACCAGTGTTTATCATGTACTGTGGATAATAAAGTTCAGTCACTGGAGGAATCTGGAACCCTGGAGAACAAGGGAAGAGGTGAGCATGTTTTTTGATGATCCAAAGAGATGAGTATAATAATAATCTTCAGCTCTTATGGTAGGAATTAACGATGAGAGCGCGGGCCCATATCCAAAGGTTCCAAGAACATGAGAGACTAGTCAGAATAATCCAGGGAGTCATTGGGCAGTGGTTGGATGGAGGAGACAGCTGAAGGTGTCACCAGGAGTCAGGAGAACAACAGGAGCTGAAACTGCAACACGTGAGAATTCAAATATTAGTTCACTCAATAACCTGGGAACAGGTAGTCGTCCAGAAGCATTCCCAAAGGGGGTAATGCAGCAGCGTAGGAGTGGAGTTTCCTGCAGCCTCTTATACTCCAGGCTCTCATTAGTGGTGATGGTCCTCAGGTGCGGGTGGTTGAAGGCATCACGTGACTTGGAGCTGTGGAGAAAATGCTGAACTCCTACAGTTAGTCAGAAGTCTTTATCTTACCTCTTGATGACGGTCGTCTTTGTGTGACGACTGTTTGCCTTGTTCTGCTCAGCAGGTTTGGTGGAAACTGTCGGCAGTTTGCATGTTTGTGTGGCAGCAGGGCAGAGATGTCGTCTTGGCTCGACTCAGACAAGAATCTCACCTGTAACACGATTCATCTGTTTTTCTTATGTCTGAAAGAAACGATGGATGGACAAAAAAAAGTGTAAACAGTGTAGCGCTAATGCTTTCCAGGCAGAAATGAGACATAATACGGTAGAGGACAATATTAAAACCCTTTCTAATGGCTGTACAGTTCAAATAAGTCAAAACGGATTATCATTAGGGCAAATTGATTTAACTATAAATATAAAGGCCTAGCATTCCTTTAAAGTGCACATAGCCCACTGTCCTTAACTAAGATCATCCGTGTGTCCATTCATCGTCTGCTGTTTGGCCTGAAGTCGGGTCGCAGGGGGGCCCAGGCATCTCTTTCCAAGATCTTGTTTTTTCAGTATGTATTCATTTTGGTTAAAAACAAACAACTTGTAGCATTCGGGGTAAGTGTTGAGGATGACTTATAGGTTCTGCCACATCAGACTTTTGCTCAACATCTATAAATTAGACTGAGAAATAAACGTTTTTTTCTTGGCTAAGGTGGATTTGCTGTGGCGATTATGATTGACTCCAAAACATTGCGTTGTTAATGTACATCCAGTAGTTACTTTCTGGAAGTTTCTTTGGAAGTCTGCCCAGTGGCTTAAGTGTGGTGCTTAAAGTTGGAGATGATTCAGCTACTAGCTCAATATCATCATGATACTCAGTTGAAGTTATCTGATCATTTGGTTTCTTTGTGATAAATGAACCTTTTTAGACTAATACAGTTTTTTGTAATGTTTTAATCTGCATTACATCACTTTACACACGAGTCCAGAAACGGCATAAATTGTCAGTAATAAGAATAAAAGCTGTGAAGTTACAAAACACAACATCTGTGTTGCTGACAAAACTTTACACTGACCGTTTTACTGTATTAGTAAAGTTTTGTATTAAATGGAAAAAAAGATGAAGTTGTAACACCTTTAGAAGAACTTTTGAACATTTGGACCTTCGCCGCCTTTTTTTTTATTGGATGGCTTAACTGAGCAAATGAATTCACCAGAGTTTAACATCAAAGTCTTGGTTTAGTTTGATAATACTCATAGTTCACAGTATCAGTTGACCTCCTGTATGTTGGAAAAGGCTCAGTCAGTTATGTTGAGTTGAGCGTAGGACGTAGCGTGGGTTCAACAGCTTCAGCGACAACTTTCCCATCCAGAACCATCTGTTCAGTCAGATGTTTGCTCTCCTCTGGAAGCCTGCCTCTTCTCTTTGGGGCGGCTGAGGGATTAGAGCAGTCTTCCTCCAACGCAAGAGTTGGGGGTTCAATTCCACGAGCAGTCACATGTCGAAGTGTCCCTGGGCAAGACACTGAACCCCTCATTGCCTCCGATGTGTGTCCCATCAGTGTATGAATGTGATCTAAAGCACAGATTAGTGTTTGTATATAGAAATAGAGCTGTATGACTGGGTAAATGAAGATTGTGTTGTAAAGAGCTTTGAGTATCTTGATAAGACAGAAAGGAGTTGTATAAGTATACTGTCCATTTAACATTGACCATTTAAAGGTTCCCTCAAAGTGAGTTGCTTAACTATATTAAGTTTAAGAGTTAACTGGTGATGATAGAAGAATAAAACAATATGCAAGTTCTCCTTTTCCCAAACGTCATCGTGTTTTTCTACTAACTTCAACTTTGTAAGTCTACAGGTTCTAGCAAGAAAAGCACCACCAAGTCACAGTATTTTGTCTGTTATGTATCTTGACATTTCAACTAATTAAACAAAAACATGCACATACTTTTCTGCCAGTCAGCCCAGTAGAAAGTCCTCCATCTTGGACGCTTGGCACATGTACAGTAAATATTTGTATCTGCTTGATATCCAGAGTTTTTTTTTGCACGTGCTGTAAAGACAACACCGTTGGATTTTGAAGGGTGACGTTCATTTGGATGTGAGGGAAATTTTATTTATTCTTGCAAATATTTTTAATACTTTTTGTCAAACTTGATCCTGGACTCCTGAGTAATTATTTAAAATACTTTTCTAATGGCTGGGTAATCTCGGTTCCCTCAGCTGAGTGTTTGTATTACAGATATCTAAAGACATTGACCGTCTGTAACTCTACCACTACTGTCACAATAAATACATAAATGGTAAATATTGCAAGCGGCTAACGAACTGCACTCATTTTATATTTTGAAATGCTTCCAAACTGCACACACGTCGGCACTTCACATCATTTTATGTCGTGGTTTATGTCAGCCATACACACTAGGTCAAAGGCACAGATTGGGAGCGTAGTGTTGTCGGCTTCTCCAGTACCGATATGTGAAAATGCGTCGCTCCGGTCTCTGATGTGATACTTGAGATCGGCTCGGGACGTCCCTTCTGAGTAAACAAGCCGGTTCAAAAACAAAAGCCCAGACATTTCTGCTGTGTGTGTGTTTGCAGCTTTATCTAAAGTACGAACACCGTTAGGAAACAGTAAGGGCACAGTTGTGTGCGAGGTAGCTTCAAACAGGGCTTAGCTAAGCTTGGTCTCGGCACACCTCATTTTGTGCCTGGCCACTACCTGACTGTTCCCAGTGGTCTGTAGCTTCTCCTACACATTAGGGTCTCTGCAGTCCTCCACACTGCTGAAGGCTTCTCCCGATCACTAACCAGAGCTGCTGGTTGCACCGCAGCACATCAGAGACAATAAAATGCACAGAAACTTGCACTCGTTTCAGAGCAAGAGTGGCTGCTGAGTCGTTGCCCACCGCCATTTTTCAACACAATAAAACAGTCGGTAAAGTAATGAGAAAAGAACTTGAGCACCTTACAGTTTCCTTGTCTCTGCAAACATCAGATGTGTTTTCAGAGGTAATTCTAATCATTGCTGCGTAACGCACAGCAGTTTCACAGCTTTGCATATTTGCAAGCCAGATTTCTCGCATCAAAAAGACTCATTTCTGGGTCAGACTCTAATATATTCTGAGTGCTGAATGCAAAGTTTAAAACACGTCTTCACTGTTTGAAGCCGTCTGTATATTTCTGTGTTTTTCTGCTCTGCTTTATAAATAAAAGAAACTGTGCAGCGGATTAATTCTGTCTTCTCCACACAGACATGATGACTTGAAGGAGATGTTGGACAGCAACAAAGACTCCCTGAAGCTGGAGGCAATGAAGAGGATTGTGGCTGTGAGTGTGAATTATGTTTGGGATTTTGCTGATCTGCAGGTCCGGCTGCACCTTGTGAGGAAGACAAGGGTAGAACCCCCCGAAACTAAATAGTTACACGCAAAATGCAATATGCGCCCATTATAATTAGTTTAGACTCTCATCCTCATCAGACTGCATATTTTTAGATTTTAGGACACAAGCAGTCTCATCTGATAAAACTACAGCGTGGAGCGTTGTTAAATATTCATAACCTGTGTCAGATTTCCTACTCCGAAGCTCCACACCCATTTTTTTCTTTCATCACCCCTGCAGAACTGAAAGACAAAAAATAAAAAAGGAAATAAAAAGCATAAAGAGAGACTGAGCAGCTTTGGGGTGTTTTTCTCTGCAGATGATCGCTCGTGGCAAAAATGCATCAGATCTTTTCCCAGCCGTGGTGAAAAACGTGGCGTGCAAAAACATTGAGGTTGGTGAAGTAGCTTCATGCGTGTATGACTTCTATCTAGTTTTAAACAGTTTTTAAAATGTTTTCTTTATTTAATCATATATTATGCTTCATGCATCTTATTTGTTTTACAGCCTCGTGTTTTTTTCTTTGTTTTACCTCAGTTGAACAGTATGCAATTATCCTGTTTTATTCTTATCCTAGTCTCTGAACTTTGATTAAATCAGTTTTGTTATTTCATTTAGCAGTTTTTAATAGCTGCTTCTTTTTCCAGGTGAAAAAGCTTGTTTATGTTTACTTGGTGCGCTACGCTGAGGAACAACAAGATCTTGCTCTGCTCTCCATTTCTACCTTTCAGCGTGGATTAAAGGTACATACTACTGTTTTTGTGCAGCCATGACAACACAAGTGTTTTACCTTCAAACCTGCTACAACAGCTGCTACTTGCAATTGATTTGAGCTCTGTCTGCAGCTGTCATCTCCAGCAGGAATATTTCTGGATCGATTGATAAAGACAGACTGACTGATGTAGTTCACAAATACTGAACACGTGAATAACTGTTGTTGATCCCACGGCTAATTTTATATACAATCATGGGAAAAAGAAACTACTTCTTCTTTGATTTGTGTGATTTATTAATTTTTTTGACACATGAAGTTACATTTGAATAACTTTAGAACCTGGTACAAACAAATAAACAGACAAACAGATCTTTTCTAACATGCCCTGATACAGCAAACCCTAGACACCAAGTGTTGTCCACCCCATGATTCAGAAGCTCCTGTTGTGGAGCGAAAAGAGGGAATTGGAATTACCCATCCATCTGTTTATCCGTGAATGTTGTGTGTGTGTGTGTAAACTTTAAAAACAAGTGAGGGATTGACTTCTTTTTTGGTGCGTGGCTACATCTAAGCTTAAGAGAGATTCCTTTTGAAAATCAGGTTGCCACGTCAAAATCCAAGATGGCCACCACCGTATATATTTATACCATACCACTTTATTTATAAAGCACTTAAAGACAGCAAAAACAAAACAAGCAAAGGACACAGGATAAAATGCATAGATCCACAGAGGTAAAGATAAGAATTAAATGACCAACATTATAGAATGCAGAAAAGTTAAGATCAACTCACACAGTGTCAAAAGCCAGAGAATAAAAGTGAGTTTTTAAATGAGACTTAAAAACATTGAGAGAGGAAGCCTGCCTGACATACAATGGTAAGTTATTCCACAGTCTTGGACCTGCAGCAGAGAAGGTTCTGTCACCTCTGAGCTTAAAGCGAGTGCCTGGAACCAGTAGAAGCATCTGGTCTGCTGACCTCAGAGAGCGCCGTGGGACATATGGCTGCAGCAGATCAGCGAGATAAGAGGGGGCAGAACTGTTCAGAGATTCAAAAACATACAGAAGGATTTTAAAATGAATTCTGAAGTGAACTGGGAGCCACTGAAGGGAAGCCAGGACTGGTGTAAATATAATATAAATATTTGTATTTATGTAAAAACGGTATTGGCTAGCCCTGTCATTTGTGGAAACTATTCTTTCTACTTTTTAAACTGCTTAAAAGAATAGTTTCCTGAAATGACTGGGGTGGCTGAAGATTGATCTATGGTGCCCAAGGCCACCGTTGGCCACCCCCTGGCTCCACCAATGCACCTGGTTGTGGATAAAATTGCTCCCTCCGTTTGCTAGGATCCATCGCTCTGTGCTGCTTCTGTTCTCTCACATCATTGTGGAGGAATTTTGACCCACTCTACTGCTTCAGACATTTGTCTCTTCACAGCTCTTTTAAGGCCCCTCTGCAGTATTTCAATCAAGCTGAGGTCTGGGTCTAGACCATCAGCCCTTCAACACTGTTTGACTCATGGTATATGATATGTATGATATATATGATATGCTGTGCTTGATTCTTACCAAACACGGTGCTCAGCATTGTGCTTAAATGTCTCCACTTTGGTCTTATCTGTCCAAAAGACATTATTCGATAAGTCTTATTGTTCATTCAGACACACCCTAAGTCATGCTGCCATTTTCTTTTTAAAGAGAAAAGTCTCAACATTTCCAAACAAGTCACACTTGTTCAATGTTTTGTCTAATTGTACAATCAACCGTCAACATTTAATCAGCTAAATGAGGCCTACAGAGTCTGAAATGGAGTTTTTTGCAATTTCTCAGAGCATTGCATGGTCTGACCTTGGGGTGAATTTGAAGGGGTAGCCACCTCTGGAGAGATTGGCAGTTTTGGGAGACTATTATAGCCGTGCAGATGACGACTTTGAGCTATTGTTGATAAAGGTGATTCTACAGTTTGTTAAAATCATTGAGTGGACCTAATTTTCATACTGCTTTGTTATTGATTAAATAAATAATGACATGGTTTTTGCACACCTGAGATTAATTTTAAATAATTTTAGAAGTTGGTAAAAAGCAAATTGTTCCTATTATTTTCCTATAAGCAACGCAGGAAGTAAATGCAAGTAGACTTGCTTTTTCTCATGGTGATGCTGCTGTGAAGTTTTGCACCGGTGTTTAATGCCCAAAAATAATACATTTTTAAAACTTCCTGACACAAATCAGATCAACTTAGATCAGTTTGTATTTTTAAAAAGAAAACTAAATACCTCCAAAATGCAAAGATTTAAATCTTACATGTATTCTGCGATACTTTGTGTTAATTGAATGCATTCCATGCTTCGATAAAACATTAAAGGAAGGCTAACGGTAGGAGAAACACTGAACGTTATACTTAATGTTATAATATTTGCTGTTATTCACATCAATCTCCTCCCAGCACGTCTAACTTTGTGTGTAAAGTTCCTGCCATGTTGTTTTGCAGGATCCGAACCAGCTCATCAGAGCCAGTGCCCTGCGTGTCCTCTCCAGCATTCGAGTTACGATCATCGTCCCGATCATGATGCTGGCCATCAAAGAAGCTGCTTCAGACATGTCTCCATACGTCAGGAAGACAGCTGCTCATGCAATTCCTAAACTATACAGGTTCAGCTCTGCAAACATCAGTGCAACCTTGAATAAAATGGTTTTCCTCATTGCAAGATTTCTGCATAGGGAGTTAATTTTTCTTGACATTTTACTTCTATGTAAGAAGTTCTTTATTTTTCTTATTTCAGTTTGGATCCTGAACAAAAGGACCAGCTGATAGAAGTCATAGAGAAACTCCTCGCAGACAAAACCACGGTGGGTTTGTTCTTCTTTCACGTAACTGATTTAGTACTTTCTCCTCGACGTTTACTTCAACCCCGTATACGTAAATGTGAAGACACAGAGTGCACAAAATGTAATGCTCAGCTTCTGTGCACAGCACTGGAGTGCACTCGGTTGTTTTAGGACTCGTTTCTTGTTTTTAACTTTAATATTTTGAACGAGCCGTTTCTAAATTAAATCTAATGAAAACAGGGACTGCTCTGATTTCAGCAGTTGTTTAAAAGTTTCTTTCACATCAGCGGTACTATTAACTTGTATGAATGTTATTTACCATAATTTCCAGACTATAGAGCGCACCCAAATATAAGCCACGCCCACAAAAGAAAAAAAATGCACAGCCATGGGTGTCCATGTTGTCACATGAGATATTTACACAGAAAGATTTTTTTAACTTTTAATTAAATACATACAGTAAATATTTTTTACAGGGCCTATAACATTTCTTATTAAAAATAAAAAATGTAAAATACAGTAACCTACCAGGAAAAGCCATTGAACACTATCTTCATCTTTCTCCTGTGCACTAAAACCATGAAAGTCTTCTTCAGTGTCAGAATCGAACAGTCAGGAAACCATCATCACGCACGTCCTCACTCTCTTTCATTGTCGCTCTCAACGTCACGTTCGTCTCGAGGCAAATTTGATTTGATTTACGATTCACGCTCATTTTGAGCGGCTGCAAATACTTTGTTGTGTACAATGGGGGGAACTCCCACAAGGAGGGGGAGAATGGGGAGGAGGTTTCCCACCCTCCACAGTGGACCAGTGAAACCAAGTTCCATCAGTCCACTGTGACCCGTTCGGTAATTTCATTTGTCAGTTAGTTTTTTTAACCGTTATTATACAGGTAGACTTATTGAGTCACGAGGACCCACCCCCCAAGAGAGACACGTATCGGGCAGCTATGTGAGTGCCCGGGTGTTAATGAGGCTAAATGTTTTTGCAGCAGGAAGCTCGTTGTCCCGTAAAAAAAAAAAAAAAGCCATAAGTTAGCCGCAGCATTGTGTAAGCCGCGGGGTTCAAAGCCGTGAAAAAAGTAGCAGCTTATAGTCCGGAAATTACGGTATTTATTTGATAAAGCTCCATAATAACACATCCGCTGATGACGGACACAATAAGACCGTCACATTGTCGTCTGTTGTGGGATTTAAAATATGCTGCAGCTGGTGGCAGGAAGTGTCGTCATGGCTTTCGAGGAGGTTTGTCCGGAGCGCATCGACCTCATCCACAAGAACTACCGGAAGCTGTGCAACCTCCTGATTGACGTGGAGGAGTGGGGGCAGGTGGTTATAATCAACATGTTGACCCGCTACGCCAGAACACAATTCCTCAACCCAAACATCAACGTGAGTGATACAACACACAGAAGGTGGAGGCGAGTGAGGCTGAAACTAACAACCGCTTTACAGTATTACCCGCTATTTATGTTCTGGCCCGGGCTCGGTGTCTTTGCAAAGGGAAGTCAGGCCCACGTCCCGCTCGAGTTTTGGTGCCCAGAGACCGAACTTGTACCACTTTTTCACAGCATTGTCACACAGTTGTCCACAGCCTCTGCGTGTGGCAATAAACTTTAGATTTATAAACTTTTATATTTATATTTAATCTTCTGTTAGCTTGTTTAGATTAGTTACACAATGACAACGTTCTTTCTCTTTTAGGTAATTTAACCACAAATCTCGTGATTATTTTCTCTGCAGGAGTCTCTGTTTGAGGAAGGAAGTGGTGGGGAAAAGACGTTTTATGGCTCAGATGAAGATGAGGATGAAGATGAGAGCAAGAAGGAGAAGAAGGCTGAGGCAACTGAAATGGCCAGGAGGAAACCGTATGTGATGGATCCAGACCACCGTCTGCTGCTGAGGAACACTAAGCCGCTCCTGCAGAGCCGCAACGCAGCTGTGAGGCCACTGCACCGCTCCACACACGTTTTTACACGCTGGACGTTGGTCGCCTGCCAGGCGGTCCATTTACTCTCCTCTTAGTAGCTAAAATCACACTTCATCACAAGGACCATTATTTCAAATGGTTTCAAGAAAGTAGTATCAAAGATCATTTTCATTCAGAGACTGCGCAAACACGGAAATAGGTCACAAACAAAATGAATAAAGTTACTTTGGGGCATCCTGGGTGCTCCTCTTTTGCTAAATTTAACAGAATTCTTCTGTTTTACATTATTTTACTGCTCCAGTCAAGCTGGCTGCTATCATCAAAGTCATAAAGAAAGTTACAGTATGAACAGCAGTTTATTTTGTACATAATTTAAAATTAAATTTTTAGTTTGTATTTATCATTAATATCTGCAAAGTTCAGTTCTGCTCTAAAGTATAACAATATGAACAAAGTTTTTGCAGTTTGGATGGGCAGAGATCACTTCCAATTGTAACCATGCTGTGACTTAAGTGCGCTGAGATGAATGTAATTCAAGAAATAATCCGATATGAAAAATAATTAAATCTTTCGAATATAATCCCTTTAAATTAAATTGAAATTTTAAGTCAGAAATCACAAATTCTAACTTTATGGCCATTCTGAGGCGTTTGGCAAAGTGCCCATGACGAGGTGAAATCTTAACGTATAATAATTAAACAAATTTTTTAAATAAAATATGAGGCAATCACACTCATTTATTTATACTCACCTTTATTTATACAGGTTAGTCCCATTGAGCCTCGGGGACTCGTTAACACAGGCAAACTAGACAAACAAAGTCAACAGAGTAAATACAAAGCTGTAATTAGTTTTTCACTGCAGTGAAACGCTTCATACTTTACAGATTGATACGAGTTATAAATTACTTTTACGTTTTTAAATTGACTATGATATTGTTAAACTGGTACATTTATTGTTGTAATTAAAAGCAATGCATACCCTTGAACTCTTTATCTTGTAAGTGTCCTCCTCACCCCCCACCCCCAGGCTAGAAAACAATTGGAAACACTATCAAGTAAAATAAATAATTAAATCTAACATGGTTGAGTCAGGTCCTCTGGATGATTCTTCTTTGTTGAAACGTTTCGTCTTTTATCCAAAAGACTTCTTCAGTCTGAGGAGCTGCAACAAACTCAGTCTTATAAATAACACCTTCTCCTAGTGGATCAACCAGGTTGTTGTTGACATCCAGAACTAGCTGTTCATGTGATAAAGGAGGACCATCAGCCTAACGACTCATCGTTAGTGCTCTGGTGGCCGCTTGCTATTCACAGGGGCTGAGTGAAACTAGAAATAACAGCATTGTAAGAGGGGGACAGCTGGACACGGAGGCCTCCACCCCTGTTCAACAATGGACAAAGATGGCTTCCTTCACTCCTCTCCATCAAGGATGTGAACATCTTCATCCCTGAAAGAGTGACCTCTGACCTGCAGATGAGACCGCAGAGTCCTGGGAAACCGTCCTAAGACTCTGTCCAGAGGACCAGACTCAAGCTGGGCCTTGGATTCATCTACCTACTGAGCATGCATCAGGACATAATTGATTCAATAGTTTTATATTCCATGCGTGTGGAATATTTGATAAGTTTAAAGAATTGTTTTAAAATATAATGTTCATTACCAGCCTTAAACTAATCAATAATTCATAAAAGCTGATTATGATTTTAATAAATACCAACAAATTTGTCCTTTTCAACAAGCTTAACAGGTTTAACAGTCATTGCAAAGCTTTTGAAAGTAACAAACCTTTATAAACCATTTACTCTTAAAATTTTAGCTTGTGTTTTCATCTCGTTGTTTTGGTTTTACAACACATCTGTGCTGGTTTTGCTCTGATCAGCAGCAGCCAGCTGATCATCAGAAAGGTTAAAGGTTATTAAACTCCCAGCTCTAAATTTCTGATTAGCAGTCGCTCGTAACTTCCTTGTTGTGGAGGATTAAACATTTACAAAGCATCAAATTTTCCTCGGAGAGCGACAGTTTTCTGAAAAGACACCTGCACGTGTATCAAACCTTGTTGGCCGCCACACCGCAGATTAAAAGAGTCAGGTGTGATGATTGATAGTCTAAAATAATTATCACAAACAAAACCCTTTGTTCTGAATAAATTAGCTGCCACTTTTAGCATGAAACAGAAATACAAACAGAATTTAGTTTTGTCATTTCATGCAGATTTAACACATTTGAAAGAAGCTTTAAAAGAAAACAGAAGTGATGGTGTTTGGTCCTAGTGGCTCTTGTGAACCTTGCCCTGCTGATCTGGGTCCTCTGGCACCTCCTGTAAAGAAAACTGTTTCTAACTTGGGTTTTAAACTGGACAGTGATTTTAAATTAGATTCCCAGACTGGAGCGGTGGTCAAGACCTGTTTTATGTGTTTAAATGTTCTTGATTTTATATGTGCAGCACTTTGTGGCAGCTGTGGTTGCTTTAAAGGGATTTTTATGAATAAAGTATTATTATTATTATTATTTGCTTTAAAAATACAAATAAAGAGCGGTGAAAGTCCAGTGCTGGACTGATGGAGAACAGTCAGTTTCTCCGTCCACCGCAGCACATTACTGCACCAGCTTTACTCTATAACAGATATTACAACACTGCGTAAGGTCCCTTTGACACAGGAAGTAATGAGCTGCACAGAACCGAGCAGTGTGCAGAGCGCAGCCTGCCGCCACGTGTGCCGTCACGGTTCTTATTTTCCTGATTCTTGGTGCAGCTCATCACCAACACTGACAGATTTGTGCCGCATTCAAACTGCGGCTGGAAAAACGAGCCGCTTTCCTGATGGGATGGAAATCTTTAGACACCATACATTTGGTTACACTTGGTTTAGTTCCACTTCTGCGATGTGCTCATAAAATCATTCTCGACGCGTCCATAATCAGACTTCTAACAAAATCCCAAATATAGATAGACTTTTAACGTAAAAGGAACAAACTGTTTTGCTCTACACATCAGTATAAATCAGTTTTCATTTAACAAGATTATGGGAACTAAAGGATTAAAAAATTTGCATTTTGTGGCAGCGGGTGTTCGTGCATACATGTAAGAGGTATCTTACCCACTTTCTTCCATGCTTCCACCGCCTTGTTTTTGGTCCTGTTAGAATGTGGCTGTGAAGATCACGGATCATAGAAACGTTGCCATTCCTCTCTCCATGGTGTTAACAGTGACGTGAGCTAACACCAGCTGCTTTTTTCTGCTCCAGGTGGAAACATGCACACAACTTATATATAAAGTGGTTTGTTTTTTTGTCCTCGTCGTTTTTTATTTATTTAACTGTCCTGTCTGTGAAACTGCTTTAGAGCCTCTCTTCTACAAATCTTCCAAATTATAACTATGGACTTGGATTTGGTCAGTTGGTCCCTCATCACAATTGATAACATTTCTTCAAAGAGAAGACGGGCTTTAGG